ACCTACTGTGAAGCATGGGGGTGGAAACATCATGCTTTGGGGCTGTTTTTCTGCAAAGGGACCAGGACGACTGATCCGTGTAAAGGAAAGAATGAATGGGGCCATGTATCGTGAGATTTTGAGTGAAAACGTCCTTCCATCAGCAAGGGCATTGAAGATGAAACGTGGCTGGGTCTTTCAGCATGACAATGATCCCAAACACACCACTCGGGCAACGAAGGAGTGGCTTCGTAAGAAGCATTTCAAGGTCCTGGAGTGGCCTCGCCAGTCTCCAGATCTCAACCCCATAGAAAATCTTTGGAGGGAGTTGAAAGTCTGTGTTGCCCAGCGACAGCCCCAAAACATCACTGCTCTAGAGGAGTTCTGCATGGAGGAATGGGCCAAAATACCAGCAACAGTGTGTGAAAACCTTGTGAAGACTTACAGAAAACGTTTGACCTGTGTCATTGCCAACAAAGGGTATATAACAAAATATTGAGAAACTTTTGTTATTGACCAAATACTTATTTTCCACCATAATTTGCAAATAAATTCATTAAAAATCCTACAATGTGATTTTCTGGATTTTCTTTTCTCATTTTGTGTGTCATAGTTGACGTGTACCTATGATGAAAATTACAGGCCTCTCTCATCTTTTTAAGTGGGAGAACTTGGACAATTGGTGGCTGCCTAAATACTTTTTCCCCCCACTGTATATATATTATATTAACACTAACCTATACACCTCTCCTCTACCTCCAGACCATGCCAGACAGACAGATCATTGTGTTATATCTGTATGTTTATATATATATATATATATATATATATATATATATATATATATAATATTAACACTATAACACACTGTGTCTTCCATTCCTGTGGCGGTCCTCATGAGAGCCAGTTTCGTCATAGCGCTTGATTGTTTTTGCGACTGCACTTGAAGAAATTTTAAAAGTTATTGAAATGTTCCGCATTGACTGACCTTCATGTCTTAAAGTAATGATGGACTGTCGTTTCTCTTTGCTTATTTGAGCTGTTCTTGCCATAATATGGACTTGGTATTTTACCAGATAGGACTATCTTCTGTATACCCCCCCTACCTTGTCACAACACAACTGATTGGCTCAAATGCATTAAGAAATTCCACAAATTAACTTTTTATTGAAATGCCATTCCAGGTGACTACCTCATGAAGCTGGTTGAGAGAATGCCAAGAGTGTGCAAAGCTGTCATCAAGGCAAAGGGTGGCTATTTGAAGAAACTCAAATATAAAATATAATTGATTACTACATGATTCCATGTGTTATTTCATAGTTTTGATGTCTTCACTATTATTCTACAATGTAGAAAATAGTAAAAATAAAGAAAAACCCTTGAATGAGTAGGTGTGTCCAAACTTTTGACTGGTACTGTATATATTTTTATATATAAATTAGCAAACATTTCTAAAAACCTGTTTTTACTTTGTCATTATGGGGGTATTGTAGTAGATTTTAGAATAAGGCTGTAACGTAACAAAATGTGGGAAAAGTCAAGGGGTCTGAATACTTTCCGAATGCACTGTATGTATGTGTGTGTGTATATATATATATATATATATATATATATATATATATATATATATATATATACATACATTAAAATACAAAACACAGTCATGGGAAGCACAAGTAAAACATCACAAATCACCCAGAAAAACAGTTACATTCCTCCATAAATAAGTCCCCAATCAATACTTTACCATGAAATGCTCACTTAAGAGCCCTTCTCAATGATGCAGAGTTAAAAGGATAGTTCACCCAAATTACTAAATGACACATTGGTTTACTTACCCTGTAAGCAGTCTATATCCAAGGTACCTTCAGGCTCTGATCAGACCCTACACCCAAACGAGGGCACTACGTTCATCCACCTCTGGCCTGCTAGCTCCCCTACCTCTACGGAAGCACAGTTCCCGCTCAGCCCAGTCAAAGCTATTCGCTGCTCTGGCACCCTAATGGTGGAATAAGCTCCCCCACGACGCCAGGACAGCGGAGTCACTGACCACCTTCCGGAGACACTTGAAACCCTACCTCTTTAAGGAATACCTGGAATAGTATAAAGTAATCCTTCTACCCCCCCCCCCCCCCCCACTCCCTCCCCATAAAAAAACATTTAAAAAAAAAAGAAGAAAAGTGGTTGTCCCACTGGCTATCATAAATTGAATGCACCAATTTGTAAGTCGCTCTGGATAAGAGCGTCTGCTAAATGATGTAAATGTAAATGTAAAAATACAATGGCTCTTGTCTAGTTGTTCTTGTGTAGTTACACTGAACAAAAATGAAATGCAACAATTTCAAATATTTTGCTGAGTTACAGTTCATATAAGGAAATCAGTCAATTGAAATAAATTCATTAAGCCCTAATCTATGAATTTCACATGACTGGGAATACAGATATGCATCTGTTGGTCACAGATACCTTTAAAAAAAGGTAGGGGCGTGCAAAGATCAGAAAACCAGTCAGTATCTGGTGTGACCACCATTTGCCTCATGCAGCGCAACATCTCCTTCACATAGAGTTGATCAGGCTGTTGATTGTGGAATGTTGTCCCACTCCTCTTCAATGGCTGTGCAAAGTTGCTGGATATTGATGGGAACTGTAACACACTGTCGTACACGTCATTCCAGAGCATCCCAAACATGCTCAATGGGTGACATGTCTGGTGAGTATGCAGGCCATGGAAGAACTGGGACATTTTCAGCTTCCAGGAATTGTGTACAGATCTTTGCGACATTGGGCTGCGCATTATCATGCTGAAACATGAGGTGATGGCGGCGGATGAATGGCACAATGGGCCTCAGGATCTCGTCACGGTATCTCTGTGCATTCAAATTGCAATTGATAAAATGTAATTGTGTTCGTTGTCAGTTTCATCAGCTGTCTGGGTGGCTGGTCTCAAACGATCCCGCAGGATAAAAAGACGGATGTGGAGGCCCTGGGCTAGTGTGGTTACACATGGTCTGTGGTTGTGAGGCCATTAGGACGTAGTGCCAAATTCTCTAAAACGACGTTAGAGGTGGCTTATGGTAGAGAAATTAAAATTACATTCTCGGGCAACAGCTCTGGTGGACATTCCTGCAGTTAGCATGCCAATTGCATGCTCCCACAAAACTTAAGACATCTAAGGCATTGTGTTGTGTGACAAAACTGCACATTTTAGTGGCCTTTTATTGTCCCCAGCACAATGTGCACCTGTGTAGAGATCATGCTGTTTAATCAGCTTCTTGATATGTGACACCTGTCAGGTGGATGGATTATCTTGGCAAAAGAGAAATGCTCACTAACAGGGATGTAAATAATTTTGTGCACAACATTTTAGAGAAATAAGCTTTTTGTGTGTATGGAACATTTCTGGGTTATTTTACTTCAGCTCATGAACCAACACTTTACATGTTGCATTTATATTTTTGTTCAGGGTACATTTTAGGCAGACAATGGAACATGCAAGGCAAAAACGTAAAAAGTAGGCTATTCTATAAAATGTTTTTTTTACAAAAAATATAAAAACACACACAAATAAAAAGTACTGTAAAATTTCATTGGCTTTATTGCTCGAGTATGTATATACAGGATGTTAACATAAAGTTGGTACACAGCGCCCTTATATGGTTGAACAGTCCCACTGCACCTTCCATTTCCCACCATCTGGTCATGCCAGAGATTTTTATAACCCAAGATAGACCACAGCCTGTCGTTTCCAACGGGAGCAAATCAATCAGTGCGCCGAACAAGAAAGGAGGTGGGAAGAGCCAAGCACGAGCTATCGAGATCCTATTGGCCTGTTCTAGCATGTGTTTGCATATTACCATTAGGGAACGTCTACTCTGAACTGCGTGTGTGCAATAACTCAATTCTTCCTTGCACTCCTAAAGAACTCCCATTTTTGGAAACTTTGGCAAAGGGTAAAGTTAGTCCACTCTGTTCGTAACATATTCGAGTTTTGGGAACAAAAAACTGTATTGAGATCAAACGTTTAATCGCTGACAAAATTAGCATAATCTCAGCCAAAATCCATCTTGTCCCATCTTCTCCCAATGCTGGCCACTGGGCTTCCTCTCATCACCATATTTGGAGGTGAGAGGAAACGCCAACTGGATGCTTCAGATTTATACATCCGGTGAAACATCTGGCTCATTGTTCTTTCTGCGATTGTACTACAGCGCATAACATACGATTTTAACCACATACCCTACCCCAGCCACAAATAGTTAATGTTCATAGTTCTGACTATATCTCCATTTTGGTCACCTCTGGCATAGCCATCTAGTGATTACCACCCTCACATAGCGTTGAAGGGTTTAGAGTTCTGTTTAAACTAACGGTGCATAGAAACAAACATGCATGCCTAATGATTTCAGAACACAAATGTGGCATAAAATAATGCAGATTTCATTCTTTAAAGCAGCAATCAACAGTCGAAACAAACCGTACTCCCTGCCCCGGTTTCGGTAAAAAGCTTAGGGATGGGACTGGAGAAATGCAAGGACTGACCATCCATGATATCAAAATTATAGTTCGTTTTAAGCAGGTTGAGGCTTTATAGTGTTTGTTTATATCTACTTGGTTTACAAACATTGGCATAAAACAAGCTTATATATTGGGTTAGAATGGGGTTCAAGAATCAATGGGTACATATAATTAATTTATAAGTCCAAAAATTGATGTAATAACTGCAGATTGCCCCTTTAACAGAAACAAATAAATGTAACAAAAATGAATATATGAAGGAATATCTAACTAAGAGATTTCTGGGTTTACTAAAGGGTTGGGAGGTTATAAAAATGCTGATGTACAGAAGATAATTTGAATTTTGTATGAAACTGAGGCCGTGTGGGACAGACAGGCTTGTAGGGCTACCTTGCTTCTAGCCACTCCTTCATCCCATCTATCCATCATTCATTCCTCTGCTCCACATTTCCAACTGACTGCCTTCTGAGTGCGCCAGCCTCACTGCTACAAACATGCTTCTGTCCCTCCTGGCTAAATAAATATGAGAGGGAGAAAGAGAGAGAATGAGACAGAGAGAGAAACTGGTAGGTTTGGTTCTGGGTCTGAGACTCTTCCTGTGTTACGACGACGTCGTCGTCATCTCCGTGGAAGGCTGTAATTCCGTGGGGGCGGTTTCCGCCCGTGGGGGCAGTTCTGTGGCGGTGATATTGTTGCTGCCCTTGGCAGTAGAGGGAACTGTGGTAGTAGATGTGGCATCAGGGAGGGTCTGCTTCTCTGGAGCTGGGGCGACTGTTGGAAGGGTGAGGGAGGAGAGGTCGACCGGGGGAAAAGATGTTACCCCTGGGGGCAGGAGGGGTAGCTGGGGCAGCATGGCGGGCATGGGGAGGAGGGGGGCGAGACCGGGCAGGTTCAGAGGAGGGAGGGGGGCGAGTGGAGGGAAACCTGCAATGGAAGGGGGAGATCTGTAAATGAACACAGGAATATGTACACTAATACATCATGTTAACCCCTGGGGGCGGTAACCCACTTAACAATAGCTGCTAACATTAGCTGCTGGTAGTATAAACCTGCTGTTCCAGGTGGCGGTAGCCCACTAATACCTGCTAACGACACAGCGCTGAGGCCTGGTAGTGCGCCGAGGTTGAGGTTGGTGAGGTTTGGAAGTGTGGAGAGGCTGCCCGGGAGAGGCATCAGACCTACAATAGCACACAAATAAACATATATTTTGTCAGTGTAGAAAAGTGTATGATTTGATAGTTTCAATTTGATCATAAAACAACATTCTGAAGAGAAACGTGTGCTGACCTGGTAGCGTGGTGGCGGGGTTGAAGGTCGTGGTGGCAGGGTTTAGGGGGCTCAGGGAGGCGCTGATGGAGGTGGGCAGCAGGGGAACGGTGGGGAGACCTGGGAAAGAGAGGGAGAGAAAGAGAGCGAGAGAAAGCGAGAGGAGCCGTCAGCAGGGTTGGGGTCAATTCCATTTAAATTCCAGTGAATTCCGAACACTGAAACTCCAATTCTCTTCAATGCTTTTCAATGAGGAAAATTGGGAATTAGAATTGGGTTTACTTTCTGAATTGAAATGGAATTGACCTCAACCCTGGCTGTCAGCACAAAAATGCATAGGGAGAGAGGATATTTTTGACCATCCGTAGCATTGACTGAGATCATTAATTTCCAATGGGAGTTTGATAGGAGCAGGGAGGCCATCTGGAGCAATGTGAAAAATGATTAGTTTAACCCTGGTGCCACATTCCATTTCATAACACTTTGATACCATATTATGTTGTGAGAGAGCAAAAGATTCAGAGAGATGAGGTACCTGTCCGAAACTCGCTGGGGATAGTGGGCGGGGCTGAGCTGATTGACAGGCCGGACAGTGAATCCTCGAGCCCCGTGGGGACAGAAGGCACGGCAGGCGGTGGGGTTACAGCTGACAGCTGAACCTGAGCAGGGGAAAGAAATAAGACAGACAGAAAAAAAAGAGAGATGAGAATGAGGGCGGAATAGAGAAATATGAGAGAGGGGCAGTTGATGAACAGGTAAGGTCAAGTGCATTTAAACAAGTAATTATTAATTCTAATAAACACCTTTCCTCTCTGACATGCCTGTCGGCACTGGGAGGGACAGTCATCTTACATAATGAGCCTCTCATAGCTCATAACCTTCCCTGATGAGGGGGTGGAGGGGAAGCATTGAACCAAGAGTGGGGAAAACATGCAAATAAGTAGAGGATACTTCAATCGATGGAATAGTATTATGAGGCTGAGACTAAAGCTACAGTGGTCTGGTCATTTCAGCCCTCTAGGTCCAATATATGATGTTATTGCAAAAGGATTGCAAAAAAAAATAAAGTGACTGATTGTCCAGGCAGTTCTAGTTGTTCTGATTCTGGGGTCTGTTTTGGTCGAGTTCTGGGTTGATACTTACCTGAGTGAATCCGTCCTTGAGCGGCCTGATGGGCTCACCACTGGGAATATGATCTGGAAAACTGATCTTCTTCCCCTCTTCAAATGGTCGGGTGGGAATTCTGTGCAGGTATCCGTATCCTATCCCACATCCCAGACTGGAACAGGGGAACAGGAGATGATGTCACTATTCAGACTGAGATGTGTGTGTGTGCTGTGTATTGTACGTTGGTTACCTGCCCTCCCCTCCCCAGGCGCTGTTGGGGGTGATGACCACCTCTCTGCAGTTGTCTGTGTCTGTGTTATAGACATACAGCTTCAGCCCCTTCCCCTCATGGGTCTCTATCAGAGAAAACAGGTCCTCCGACTGAGAGGTGGAAGGGAGGAAGAGATAGCGATCACCTTCAATGACTTATATCCAAATGCTTATTGGCTAGTTTGTGACGCTCGCCGTCTTTACTCCTAGAGTAGAATGCGTGGTGTAGTTTTGTCACTATACGCACCTCGTTCATAACGGTGTCGGCTCCTATGATGTAATCAGTGTGAGGCCGCAAGCCAGCCAGGGCTGCCGGAGAGTTCGGCTCCACCTCCTGAGAAAGAGAGAGAACCTTGGATAATCACCTGATACCAAGAGTTACACCTGCCTGGTACACAGGGGTGAGCTAAATTGGGCAAACCTTTCGGCTACTGGCTACTCACCAGCACGTGCCAGATGTTCTCATTGGCTCCCTCAAAGCTGCAGAAGCGTATGGAGACTCCCAGTAGGCCCTGGCCGCCCCAGAGGTTGCTAGGGGTGACGGTGGACTCCCTGAGCTCCAGGGTCTTAGAGGAGTAGACCAGCATCCTGACCGGCTTCTCCACACTGGCCTTCAGTAGGTCCTTCAGGGTGTCATTGTCCTTGTTCTGAAACAGAGATAGGATAAATTATAGAATTAGAATGAGTAGCACGGACATCCATTAGAGCAGGGATGAGCAACTGGCGGCCCCCTCCCTTTTATAGGCCCGCGGGGGGACGGGGGACTCAGTCAGGGTCTCAACTTACTGTTGAGAGTTAGAATAATACAATACACAAGGTGCAATTTAGAAATTTGGTTGTGCATCAGCAGTCCATGTCAAAAACATATTATTTTTTGGATTGGTAAATTAGTCTAGCGGCCAGCTATCTAAACTTGTAGTAAGCATGGTCGAATTACCGACCGGGGTGGGGCCAATTGATCATCAGTTATCATATTAAAAACTGCTGACATTTGCCTCCACCCTATGGCAAAATATGTAGAATTGCAGGAAATGAGTTATGAAATTTCAAAATCTTCTCTCCGCCCCTTGACAAAATGTGTAGAATTGCAGGAAATGAACTTTAAAATGTACTTTTTTTCTCTTTGCTGTCACAAGGGGGCCGCTAAAATGTGTTGCTCACAAGGTGGGGGGGTATGGATGAGGGTACACAGACACACGAGCCACTGCGGCACCTCATGATGAGTTCCGTTTTTTTTTTTTTGTGGCCCCCACCCCCATCAAAGTTTCCCATCCCTGCATTTCAGCTATATACTTTACACCAGCATCCTCACCGTCAGTGGGGGTTTGTGTATGTGCCTATAGTCAGTGTGTGTTGAACATGTTTATTCAACAGCATGTCTATGCTTACCAGTCTTTCATTGTTGATGGAGACGATGAAGTCAAAGAAAGGCTCCAGTCCTGCCCGGTGTCCTGGAGAGTTCTCCTGAACCTTGGGAGAAGAGAGAGACATCATGCCTTGTAACAACTGTATTTTGAGATTGAAAGGGAGCAGCTGGAGCAAGGCTTGAACAAGGAAGGAGCAGTTGCAGGGTATTCACACTACTGCCTGTGCCATGAGGTCCAGCCGAGGTAAAGTCTTCTTGGCAGAGGTTAGGGAGCGTCACATCATCTTCGAACTTTTAGCAGTAGCCTTAGAATGAAACAGGTATTTATTACAAGCTACACCTGTAATACCCGAAGGTTGTCTACTTGTCTGTCTATCTCAAGTTCAAATAGATGCTTGTCACGTCGACATATTGATGTGAAGGTTTGAACATGGAGGTCTATACATTTAGGGCGCAATGTGACATTCAGGTGGTCAGACAAATGTGTAGAAAGAAACATGATAATGTGATGCGGAGGATTCTGTCAGCAACGCGGCTGCACCTACAAAAGTTATTGTTTTGACAGCTAGATAGCGTTGAGCTGGCTAGCTTATTCAAACCCCATTCATGTTAGCAAGTAAGCTGCCTGATTGTTTTGAGAGCTAACCTTGATTGCTAAACAATGCATGCAACCAATAAAACACATACCTTTCAAACGTTTAACTTGCACAATTCCAAAATGCCACTGTAGCAAATGCTGGGGGAAATAGCGTTAACACTGCTTCTTACTATTAGCTACATGTAGGCCAGAATGTGATCCCCGGCCTCTATCTGACGGTGAGACCACAATTAGGTCCTGCTGAGGGACCATTCCTGCGGATGCTTGCTAGCTAACATTCATTGCGGACATGAAAAAGAAAACCAAACACATAGCTACCCGAAGAACATGGTAGCCTTCGGATCCTCCTCCCGGTATCTAGACACTCTGCAATCCCCCCATGACACCCCTAGTTTATATCGTATTTAGGATTTATTGTGAGATATTTTCCTGCTCCGGTAATATTGCTACCTGCCGGGTACACGTCGCCCACTCTGCCAGCTGAGCGCTTGTGCTGTTACGTGGCAGTCCACCAGGAAACAGGGCTGATGGGCGTTTTCCCTAGCCGCAGATCTGGAATCAGTTTATCCACCCAAAATTATTTAAAATTCATTAGTGGGGGAAAAATGCTAAACTGACATAAGATCAGTGTGTAGGCTTGTGTAGTGCGCAGGTGTAGGGCTTCAGGTGCTGCTTTTTAATTGTGAAATATGATATTGGTATAAATATACTGATATTATTATATTGATATATTACATTATATTGATATAAATCATAAAAAATAACAAGTATGAAAAATGTATGCACTCACTAACTGTAAGTCGCTCTGGATAAAAGGGTCTGCTAAATGACTAAAATGTAAAATGTAAGTATATATGCTGTGAAATGTTCACCATTTTTAAGGAGTAACAGATTGATAGTGAATCTAAGCTGTCACTGATAAAATACACTACAACAGTGTCATATTATAAACCTTTTAATCATAAAACAAAGCTATTTTATATGTTTTCATGGTTCTACAACTACACTATCCTACCAGTGTAATATTTCAATTAGCTGCCTTCTGGTGTGTTAACATGTAATTGTTGGAAAGACTCTCAGGGTCGTTCCACCTTAAAAAGCACAAGAAAGAGGATTTCAACACCCACCATCTTAGATTGTTCTGAAATCTATTATGTAGTTAGCAACAGATACGATTAGCATTCCTAAAAATTATTTTGTTGAAATCTAATGTTATATCTGAAAAATTAAGCGAATTAATTGCACCCAAATCGGCCGTTTTAATTTATAGGAATCAGATAATATTCAATAAATATAGAACCCAACATCCGATTTGGACCACACATCCTCCTACCAATGTGTAAGACATGAGGAATCCCAAAAAATTATCAAAAGCCACCAATGGACCTCCCACACCCCACGCCAATCCCACCCCAACAATCAGTATACCATATCAGTTTTCTATGTCTGACAATAAGTATTAAGCTGCAGTTTGGTGTATTGCTTCTTCATACTATGTAATGTATTCCCTGTGAATTGAAGTCGCTTGCATTATTTACCATAAATTGGTGTGCAAGATGCCGCTGTTCATGCTATAGTGTCACACTCTTTTATCCATTTTGCTGGTCTCTTGTGTTTATTAAATAGATCACAACATTTCCTTTGCAACTTTGGGTAGAAAACGAATAGCTTTTGCACATGATGAAAATAACTTGTGTGGTCGTCCTCACAATTCAAGCCAGTAAATTCACAAACACACACTGTATGGTCTTTTACAATGTTAATGGTATTGGGTTAGGTTGGGTTTAATGGTAAATGTCAGTAATCACACTATATATAGAGCTGTTTTCTAAAAATATTGTTGAAAAACATAAGACTACCATGCAATGATTTATAATTGTATTATTTTATCAGGGTTGCCACAACATGTTAATCCCTAGCCCATTTCTCCATCAAAGTTTTGGGCTTGTAGGAAATCTTCATATGATAATTGCACCATAGGGATAGTCCTCTCAGAGAGCTCACACTTGTTGGACTATTCAAGGAGAGTTGGGTTGAAGTGTTGGTTGCTAAGAGAAGTACTAACTACATGTCTTTTAAATGGAGGACTGGCTTGAATTGTGAGGATCTATTGGTTTTCTACACAAAGTTGCAAAGGAAGTGTTGTGATCTACACTTAACAAAAATATAAATGGAACATGTAAAGTGTTGGTCCCATGTTTCATGAGCTGAAGTAAAATATCCCAAACATTTTCATATGCACAAAAAGCTTATTTCTCTCAGATTTAGTGCACAAATTTGTTAACATCCCTGTTAGTGGGGATGTCTCCTTTGCCAACATAATCTATCCACCTGACATGTGTGGCATATCAAGAAGCTGATTAAAGAGCATGATCATTACACAGGTGCACCTTGTGCTGGGGACAATAAAAGACCACTCTAAAATGTGCAGTTTTGTCACACAACACAATGCCACAGATGTCTCAAGAGGGAGCTTGCAATTGGCATGCTGACTGCAGGAATGTCTACAAGAGCTGTTCCCAGAGAATTTAATGTTAATTTCTCTACTATAAGCCACCTCCAATGTCGTTTGAGAGAATTTGGCAGTACATCCAACCCACAGGAGGTTGGTGGCACGTTAATTGGGGAGGACGGGCTTGTGGTAATGGCTGGAGCAGAATAGGTGGAATGGTATGAAATACATCAAACACATGGTTTCCATGTGTTTGATGCCATTCCATTAACTCCATTCCAGCCATTATTATGACCAGCCACCACTGGTCCAACCGGCCTCCACGTGTTGGCAATACGTCCAACCACAGACCACGTGTATGGTGTCGTGTGGGTGAGCAGTTTGCTGATGTCAACGTTGTGAACAGAGTGCCCCATGGTGATGGTGGGGTTATGGTATGGGCAGGCATAAGCTAAGGACAACAAACACAATTGCATTTTATCGATGGAAATTTGAATGCACAGAGATACCGTGACGAGATCCTGAGGTCCATTGTCGTGCCATTCATCTGCAGCCATCACCTCATGTTTCAGCATGACAATGCACGGGCCCATGTCGCAAGGATCTGTACACAATTCCTGGAAACTGAAAGGCCTGCATACTCACCAGACATGTCACCCATTGAGCATGTTTGAGATGTTCTGGATCGACGTGTACGACAGTGTATTCCAGTTCCTGCCAATATCCAACAACTTCGCACAGCCATTGAAGAGGAGCGGGACAACATTCCACAGGCCACAATAAACAGCCTGAGCAACTCTATGCGAAGGAGATGTGTCCCGCTGAATGAGGCAAATGGTGGTCACACCAGATACTGACCTACCTTTTTTAAAGGTATCTGTGACCAACAGATGCATATCTGTATTCTCAGTCATGTGAAATCCATAGATTAGGGCCTAATTAATTTATTTCAATTGACCGATTTCCTTATATGAACTTTAAATCTTTGAAATTGTTGCATGTTGCATTTATATTTTTGTTCAGTATATCTAACAAACACAAGAGACCAGCAAAATGGATAAAGGAGTGTGACAGTATAGCAGGAAGAGTGGCATCTAGTGGTAAAAACCAGGTACTTTCACACTAATTTATGGGAAGTAATGCAAGCAACTTCAATGATTTCTCTGAAGTATGAAGAAGCAATACTCCAAACAAACTGCATATTCATACTACTTGTCAAACATAGAGAACTGATATTGTATACTAGTTGTTGGGGTGGGATTGGTGTGGTGTGCATCGGTTGACAATTTATTTTGGATTCCTCATGTCTCTGTAGGAAGAAGTTTAATCCAAATCGGATGTTGGGTACTATAGTTATTTAATATTATCTGAATCCTATAAATTAAAATGGCCAATTTGGGTGCAATCAATTAGTTACATTTCTCCATGATCTAATTTATTTCAACAAAATAATGTTTCAGGAATGTCAATCTTACCTGTTTCTAACTACAGAAACGATTTCAGAACAATCTGAGATGGTGGGTGTCATGGCTTGGTTTCCATGTGTTTGATGCCATTCCTTTCGCTCTGTTCCGGCCATTATTATGAGCCGTTTTCCCCTCAGCAGCCTTCTGTGCAGCTTACGTACCCATTTCAGACAGAAGATGTGGTATATTACCTCTAAAGAAATGTAACCCCTTTCAAACAGCCTATTATTTACTACTTTCTTGCATATTTACTACTTTTATACATATCAGTGGGATAACTGGCAAATTGGGAAGGGTGGGGGTGTTGTTAAACCATGGGGGCTGTTTACGTTTCAAATTAGGGAGGTGTTAGACAATGGAAGTGTTAATGAATTTACCTGCAAAAAAAACAGAGAACCATTCACACAGACCCAATACAAGTGTTTTGGTTGCAGGGTCTGAAAATGTAGGCTCATTGACTAGGTCTTTAGGTGTCTTTTATTTTTCCATGTTTTTTACCCCCTACCCCTTTCAGATATACAAAAAAAGCTGGTATAAAAATGCAGGCAAAATCCCACTAATTTACCATGCCTGTTATTTTATACCAGCTTACAAATTACAAAGGGAAACCCA